AAAACTACGAAGAAATAAAGAGCAAAATAGAGAGAATTATACATGAGGCATTTAAATCAATGACAGAGCAAATGAATAACTGGAACAGAAAATCACAAATCCAGCTCCAGAGTGAAAATCACAATGTATTTCATCAGTTGTATCATGTCCATCTTGAGGTTCTGTCACTTGGTCCAGTAGTGACCACAGTGTGGGGAGGTAAAAATGTAATAGACCTTCATGGTGTCCTGGGGGAGAAGGAGGTGACAGGGGAACACTGAGGGCTCTGAGGGGATGCAGGATTTGGGGGGAATCACCTCGGCTCAGTTCTGGCACTGTGCAACTGAAGAAGACTCCTCCTTGTGCCCACACCTGGGGGAGAGGGGAATAGTGGGGATGTAGGGACAGCAGCCCATGGGTCAGGCCTCAAAACCTGTCTGTTCCAGCAATAAATGTGTCTGAACCCCAGAATCTCAAGGGGTCTGGGAGGTGGCTGGGGAATGCAGAGAGTGGCTCAGGGCTGGGTACAGGGATCTGTGGGTCAGGGTACTCAGGATATGCACCTGATTACACTACAGGGCTTGTCCTGGGCTACTGGGGCCACTGGGGATGCAAACTGAGGCTCATTGGGGTGAGTTAGAGATCTGATGGGAACAACTGGGACCACTGTGGGGTGATGTGGGGCACTGGGAGCAAGCAGGGGTACAACTCAGGGTCTGAACAGGCCATTTTGGGCCTCACAGATGCTATTTGAGGCTGAGAGGGGCATTTTGGATGCTGTTTTGATACACAAGACTAGACAGTAAGAGTGAAACAGTGAATGAAATGAACAGATCAAGCTATGCCATTTCCTTTTCTTGTTAAAAAGCTCAGTGTGACAGAGACTTGACATGGAGCCTGCAGCAGTAATGGACTAAGGCTTTTCAAGTTTTTCAAATATACAGGAGAAAGCATAATGAGAAACACTACAGCAGCTTTATTTGGACTTGTACTCCAGGCTCTTAGAGTGCAAGTTTACCTTTATTAATCTAATAAGTTGTGGCAATTAATGAGGGATCAGTTCCCTTTCAGTATGATGTAGAGCACAGGCAGCGTAATGGCAAACATAGCACATGTCAGTGCAGTGCTGTAAATAGAACTTCTCTTGATTTGCGTTTCCAGTCTCCTCTCGGTATCACACAATTCCAAAATCACATCTCTCACAGCAGCAGCCTGGCCCTTGCCCTCCCCTGAAGGCCTTGGCAGCACCCTTTCAGTAGGTCGGGAGTGGATGGTGAGTTTGACACTCTGCAGCTCAGACAGCACCTGTGTGATACTTTCCTGCAGACTGTTAAACTGCTGTTGTAAACTCCCTAGACATGAACTGACTTGTTTAATGTAGTTTAGCTGCTCATTTAAAGGCATTAAAAGAGAATCTATTTTTATGGAGTCATTCCTGGTTTCTCTGGTTAACAAAGCCCCTTCTTTCACTCCCCTCGATGCTGTTTGCAGCACATTTTTTAGGTCTTCTATGACATCACTGAGATCTTTCTGCTGCAAGTAATGGTTGGAGGCCTGTTCTTTGATGGCTTCTTGTAAATTTACTGGGCCCTTCTGTGCTTCAAGAACCAAGACTTTCAATTCTTGCAGCCTTACTCGATTGACATAGGTGGAACCAAGAACACCTATAATGGCTCCCAGCACAGAGCCAATAATAGACCAGTTCTTCGTTTTTTCAGCTCGTGTGCGTTCTTTCTCATGGCTTTCCCTGACAGCTGCAGAGAAGAGAGAGAATTTTTCTCTCTCAGATTCTTCTGCATTTAAATATGCAGCTCGGTACCTCTTCTCTTCCTGCAAGAAATAGTGATGAAAAGAGAAGGTATAATACGAAGCTATAAAGTCTATATTAAAGGAAAAAACCCCAAATCAACCCCAAACCCCAGTGCAGGTGAAGGAATGGAAACTGGGAACATCTATTAGCAGTTTCAGAAATTTTCCCCTGACTGTGGAATTTTCTTTATTAATCCTACTTAAGTCAATGAGAAATGGAAAAGGTTATCAGGAATCACAGCTTAAGACCCTGTACATGAGAATCAGCCACGTGATGACAACAAATGGGTATGAGTGAGCAAGATCTTTCACTCCCTGTGATGTTCACTGTTTCAGCCTTGCTAACTTCTCCAGATACCAGCAGAAAGCAGCTGAGAGAATTTCCATGGAAAAGAGTTTCTCTTATCCCATGGAGAATTAATTTATTGAATGGCAGCTTTTTCTTAACTACTCATGTACAGGTCACCACTAGAACAATTAATTTTCTAGGCTCATTATCTTCAGTTTGATTCTCTAAATTTACTACTCTACTTTGGCATTAACATATAAAATTTGCACAGGGAATCAAACCATCGGTAACAACTAAGTAAAACAAGTACCCTAAGACATTAAACTCTGATCACTTCAGAACTGAACTGCATCTTCAAAGACAATCAATCACTGGTGAAGGAAACAAAGCACACAAATTTTCAACATATTCACCAATGCTTAAGTACCAACAAATTACCTGCAGCAACCTGTGTTCCAGAGTAGCCAGCTCTAAATACTGGGTGTCATCCCGAGAGACCCTGTCTAAGCGATCCCGAATTTCCTTCAGTTTAATCTGTTGGGCTTCTACATTTTCACGAGCCTCTCGTACTATCCCTCGAGCTATCATAAAGACATTTTCTGCCTGAGAAGAAAGAGCATTTATTTTAGAGACTTACTACCATACAGATCCAAATTGCTAATTATAATTTTTTTTTTGTGGAGGGAGGAAAAAACCCACCAACAAAATAAAACACACTCCGTTTCAATTCAGAGGATAAGCTCTATTGACCTCATGCATAGACTAGTACACATTCACAGTACCTGCACAGACAGCCAAAGCAGAAAAAGATGTAATTCTCCTTGGATAACCTTTTCTGCCTCAGACAGTGTTTATGCTTCATATAGCTCTATTCATAATTTTTAAAATTCCATATTATCTCCATGTTTACCTCTGTCACTTTTCCCTGAGCCTCTCGAACTTCATTGATTCCAACAAATTCTTCGTATCTGTCCCACCAATTCCTGCATGTTGCAGACACTTTTTGGAGGGAGTTTTTTCCCATAGCAGTCCCTGATTCTGTGATCCGATGAAGGAGACCCATGGCCATTTCCACTGCAGACTTGGCTTCGGGCCTCTTGGGCGCTGACGGGCAGTAAGTCCTCACCATGTGTAAATTCACTTTTGGACTCCACTTCATCAATGAATGGTGATACTGCAGACCACAGGACACTGAGGACACACTTGATTTGTATTTCATAGGCCCCATATCTTCAATTTAATTACTAAATAAAAGTGCTACAAGGAAGAAGAAGATAAGTTATTGAAGTATGGCTGATTCATAGCTCTACAGCTACACATGTGCCAAAACGAATCAATTCAAGCACTTTTACACCACTGCTTACCTAGAGAACTTTCCACAATTTTCAACAAAGCACAATCGTGCCACAGATTCCGTATTTTCTGTTAGGAAGTACTCCCACCATGCTTCATGCTTCTTGATTACTAATTCACCCACGGCGTGAACAGCGATCATGTGCAGACCCAGTAACAGCAGGAGTAACTTCAGAGAAATTTAGTGCTTCAGCAGGGCAGTGATTGCACGACGTGGTTTGTGCCTCAGGTACTCACAATTCTGCAAAGGAACAGAAAAGGAAATAGGCAGAGAGGGGACAAAATCTTGATAAAAAAAGAAGTGAGGCTTGATCATTCTCTTTATCTTATATTGCACAGATACAGGAAGCGTTGAAGGATGCAAAGACAAAAACACAAAGGTCAGAGGGAAAACTCAGAAGTGCTGAACCAAATACAAGTATTCCCATGAGACTGCCTACAAAATAATAAACCAGGACGAGCCACAGGAATAGAAAAATCTCAGGCAGAACGCACAGCATTCTAACACACAAGGCTGCATTTTAAAATTAGCTTAAAATTCTTGCTTACCCTGCAAAAGCAGGTTGCTGGTTATGGTTTATTGTCTACTGATTTAAAATATGATCTTAGGGTTCTACTGAGTCACATTACTCTAAAAACTAGAAATTGGAGAACTTTTCAGTTGGGTTTTATATGAAATTTGAGTATGACTGTGTTGGGTTTTGACTAATATAATATGAAAACATGAATTACTGAGACCACTTGATAGCTGCTGCATAGTTTAAAAAATTATTTAAAACATCTTTCCTTGTTAATTTTAGGTGCTTAATACAGTTATCTCCACAAAAAAAATACTGAAACAGCTGGAAAAATTTTGACCACCACAGGCTCATTCCCTTGCTGACTAGTTCCAACAACTAATAACACCAAGTGGCATTATGAAAATCTAACCAGTTGTTTTACATGCATAACAACATGGAAGATCAAACCCACAAGAACATGGAAATGAAAGAAGTTCTCTCTCTTGCCAGCATTACTAACACATCTGCTGTCAACAGCAGTGTTGAACACCCACTCTACATTGCAGGCCACAATAAACATCAGCTCAGTTTTGTCTGTTCCATGCTGCAAAACTCCCCTCTCTTAATTGCATTACTACATGAAGAGTTTAACCTAATATGCAGGCTACTGGAGAATAAAAAAAAAAAAAAAGAGTGAGAAAGTTGAGATTTGAAGAAGACTTTCTATGCAGACAGACTGTGATGAACGTGATCTCAGCCTGAGCTCAGAGGACACAAGAAAGTTGTGGAAGCTTCATCTGAGATTACGTGCCTGGTTCCTCTCTTGCCTCCCTCGCAAGGAGCATTGCCGGTGCCTGCAGTCACTGCCGAGCACGCTCCCAAAGCCGCCGCTCGCACGGAGCCGGTGTCAGCGGGGCTCCGCTCCGGGGGTGCTGCGGCCGAGCGCAGCCCGGCCCCGCCGCGCCCCCGCATCCCGCAGCCGCTTCTGCCGCACCACCGGCCCGGCCCTGCCCGGGGCCCTTCCACCGAGCCGCCGCTCCCCTCCCTCCCTCCCTCCCTCCCGGCCGGCCCCAGCCCCGGCCCGGCCCCGCCGCGCCCCGTACCTGCCCCGGCCCGGCGGCGGAAGCGGCGGCGGCGGAAGCGGCGGCGGAAGCGGCGGGAGCGGCGGAGCGGGCGGAGCGAGCGGAGCCATGTCGGGCCGGGAGGGTAAGGCCGGGCCCGGGGCCGCCGCTGCCGCCCGCCCGGCCCCGCCCGGCCCTCACTGTCTCCTCTGTCTTTGCAGGCGGCAAGAAGAAGCCGCTGAAGCAGCCGAAGAAGCAGACGAAGGACCTGGATGAGGTAGGGCGGCGGGAGAGCCCCGGCGGCGGCGGGAGAGCCCCGGCGGCTCAGCCCGGCCCTGAGGGAGCCGGCGGGCCTGGCCGCCCGGGGGGTTCCTGCTGGTGTTTACGTTGTGTATGTCACCTAGTGACAGGACTTGGGGGAACGGGCGCAAAGTGAAAGACAGGCGGTTTAGATGAGATGTTGGCGTCGTGAGTCCCTGGCACAGGCTGCCCAGAGAAGCTGTGGCTGCCCCATCCCTGGAAGTGTTCAGCGCCAGGTTGGACGAAACTTGGAGAAACCTGGGCTTGTGGATGTGTCTCTGCCATGGCAGGGCTTTGGAAGGAGATGCTCTTTAAGGTCCCTTCCAACCCAACCCATTCTGTGTTTCTCTGATGCCATCACGACATCCCGCCTGTGCCCACCATGCTGCTGGAATCAGCACCGCTGGCTACCGGAGGAGCTGGGAATGCCCTTGCCAATGCATCAGAATGCGATCTGAAGTCGGTCAATCACTGCGGTCCCAGGAGCCTGGGAGTATTGTGTATCTTGGATAAATTAAGTATAATGAATTGTGTGTTAGAGATACTCTGAACCCTTACTTTTAAGTAAGGATGTCAGCTGCTACTTCTGAGAATAGTGCATTATGGATGAGGTGCCACTGTTTGGAAAAAGGCAAATACAATACCTCTTTGAAAAAGGAAAAAAAGATAATTTTTTATTTAGCTTTCTAAATAAGCTTTATTGTTAAAGAAATAGTAGAACTAATAAAGTGCTTATAAGGATCAAAGTTATAAACATTTGTGTGTCAAATGATGTAATATTTATATTTGTCTCAGCTATGCAATACTGTGAGCATTTGGGAGCAACACATTGCAAGAAAAAAACCCACAAAAGTGGATAAATGTGAGGGATTGATTTACTAAGAAAGACACATTAGCCAAAAGGAGACAGGAAAACCTGGAAAGAGAAACAGAATATTCTGTTCTGTGAGGGGTACATAGGGGAAGTAATATGGTTACATTGCAGCAAGGGAGACTTTAACTGAAAGAGGAGAGCTTTGCAGCTGTAAAGATGAGCCATAGACTGGATTGGTGAAGAATCTGTGGAATCTCAGTTGTCAAGGTCCTCAATTCAGTTTCCCCAAAGTCCTGAGTGCCAAATTGAAAATCTGGCTCCTTTTCAGCCTTGGTGTCTGTGAAGAATATGTATCTAAGGGATAGAATTTGTCTGACTTCTCCTGGATTTGGAGGCTCATCCAGCAAGGAGGCTCAATAGCTGCATTGACTGTACAAATTGCCAGCAGCCTCATTAGATTGCTTGGAATTAATACAAATTTATTAAACCCAGCAAAAATATGTGTGGGAGGATTTTTAAAAATGTATGATTTTTTTACAGGTGAAAGCAGCCTTACTTTATTTACATTTTTATAGCCTAAACATTTTAGTGCCTGTTTGCTGGGCTTCTTGTGTCACTGAGGGCATGTTAATGAATGGTGTTAATGCAAACATCTATCAGTCATAGGAATCATAACCTCAGAATGAGATTATGCCCTGGGAAATAATTCCAGAAACACCAAACATGCAGGGTTAAAGTTTAGTTTGTGGTACAGCAAAATCCTTGGTGATAGTTCTGCATATTTAGCATTATTCAGCCATCCTGCCTCGGTCCAGTCAGGTGTTTATTTCTGATGGAATATTATATTTGTTTTTCATTGCTTCTCAGTTGTTTTTGAATTTTTCTGTGGAAGAGATGTTAAAAAATGCTGCTGTTCTTTCCTTTAGACGGATCTGGCATTCAAACAAAAACAGAAGGAGGAGCAAAAGAAACTTGAGGAGATGAAAGCAAAAGCTGCTGGAAAAGGGCCCCTGGGTAAGTGAGATGCCATCCTGGCAGGAGAAATGGGGGTCTTGCTGGCTTCAAAAATTTCATGTTTTTGCTAGACAAATATAAAAAGGCAGGTGCCTCTGGGTTATTTGACATAGATAAGTAAGTTGATGGCAGGCACAGATGATATGAAACAAATAGAGGCTATTTTTTTTCTTTTTTTCTTTTTTTTTCCTTTTCTATGCATTTTCATCCCGAAATGATGCAGGTTCTGGTTCAGCAGGCAAATCAATGTGTCTGGCACACTGACTTATTCCACTGGTATGTGCAGGGACATTTCTGCTATTTTTTAGCACACCAGTCTTTTCAATTGTATTACGTGTAGGCTTTGCCACAGTCCTCCAAGTTTAAAATATCCAGTGCTTGTCCTCTGAGAGGATGAATTTCTTCAAGAGCAGGAGATTCTTGGTAGGGAAAAAAAAAGTGACTGGAAACCTGTCTGGCTTCAGTCCCTCTGCCTGAGTGACTGTAAAACCTGTGAAACATGAAGTGAGTTCACAGGGTGTGTCCTGGTGGCCCATGGAGGCCCAGCTCTCAGTGACAAAGTGAGGAACACTCAGTGACAGAGTGTTCACACGGGTCTGCACTTGCCTTCTGCTCCTCCAGCATCTGCCATGGTCCCATCAGAGGTGTTCAAGGGTGCACCCTTCCTGCTCCTGACCTGTGGCCCATTAATGTTACTAACCACTTTTCCATTCTGAGAAGAAGATTAACTTCACAATTTATTTCTTGTTTTTCAGCAAACTTTCAGTCTTGAAAGACTTTTCCAACAGTCCCATAGCAAAATAATTCCACTAACAGCCTTTGGTATGGAATCCTGTCAGGTCTGTGTGAAAATAGGAAGTCCCCCGAGTTCACTTTATTCAGACACTTACTGATAACCTCAGGGTCCCAGCAGGTCAGTGAGGAGGGATTTACTCTTTATGGAAATCCTCTTAGCTTTCACAAGACCATTCATTCATTTGCTGTTTTCCAGACTCTGTTATCTTCTCAGAGATTGAGCTCAGACTCACTGCTCTGTAGTTGCTCAGTGCCTAACAGAACCCATTCCATATCTAGGACCTTTACTGTCAGTCTATGAGTCCTCTGACATGGTGTCTGTATTGATGTTTTAAAACTTAGCCAGCAGATCTGCATTTTTGCATTACAGCTTGTTGGGTGCTCTTGAAGGAAGTGTCATCCAGGTGGGGGCTTTGATGTAGGGATACCAGTGCATTTATTCCCTTAGCCTTAGCCTACTCCTGCTGTATAAGAAATAATAAATGGGGAAACAAAGTAACTGTTGGAATATTTAGTTCCATTGTAGAATCACTGTTAAATAAATCACTGTTCACAGTAAGGTGTGTGAGATTGAAACCACACAGGAGTAGTCACACATGCAGAAACAATTCACCAGTGGGGACCTGGGCTGTGCAGGCTGTCTAATGGGGAAATTCAGCTTTATGAGGTACCACATTTGTAGCTAAGCTCTCTCACAGTCACCTAACCAGCTCTGTTGTTTCTTTTGGCAGCCAGTGGTGGAATAAAGAAGTCTGGCAAAAAGTAGCTTGATCAAACTGCCAGGGTAAGAAGTGATCAAGTTACTCAATGGACCTGCAGACTTCAGAGAGTCTTGAAAACAGTTTGTCATTTGGGAAACATTGTACATTTTGTTTAGTCACAATAAATCCTTTTTGTTAAGATGTGATATTTTCTCTTTACCTGTAGGTTTTGTTTAAAAATGGCTTTTCTGTTTTATACCAGAAATGAAACTTTTACTGAAGACCATGTGTGCCCTTATACAGCCTGAGTGCATCCAGTCGTTTGCTAGTCATTTGTGAGAATAAATTTCAACTTCTCTCTTTTGAGAGTGGAGTCAAGGCCTGAGTGTTAAAATCTGCAGAGTTTTATTCTGGAGGCTTAGGTTTAGCTGCAGATGTCTGAGATGTGGCTATAGCAGTGTAAGAGCTCTAAGTTGGGTTATACGTCCATCACCAGCACCTTGGGGTCAGCCACTCCAAAACAATGCTCCTTTCCACATTCCTTAAGAGCTCTGCTGTGCCCTATGGTCCCACTTCCTGCTGAACATACACTTGCCTTTGTCCTACAAATTGTCACTACACCCTTTTCCTGAGCTACATATTGACATCACAGCTCCATCACACTCATGGAATGCCTTAGGGGTGGAGAGGAGAGGGGAGCAGTAGCTGAATTCTTGAAATGAATGGCACTGGCTGTACACTGGTTATGGAGACTTGAAGGAAGGAATATGCTGTTCCCAAGGTGGGACTTGCATAGGAGGGAATCAATTCAAAGTCCTTATTACTGAAGAGAAATGGTGATACAGAGACTTCTGCTCTCAGGCAAGGCAGCTGATGGCTTCCGAGAACATCGAGACTCGTGGCGGGCGGGGAGGGAGTTACATGGGGAATCTGGGCTTGCACAGTCTGGGCTCCTAAGGGAGAGACCGCAGGTGTCGCCTGTTCAGTGCACAGCGTGCTACTCGAGGGTTTCCTTGTTAAAAAGACATTATTTTAGAGGGCTTGAGGCGTTACCTCCTTCCCTCTGAAACGCGAGGCTCCGTTTCAGCAGGGCGGGAAGGGCGGTACCCTGGACGCCTGGGAGCGGGAGGCGCAGGCCTCGTGCTGAGGGCTGCCGGCAGCGCCCGGTTATAGGAGTGGACCGAGATCGAGACCGGGACCGGGACCGGGTCAGGACCGAGACCGGGTCAGGACCGGGGTCGGGCGGGGCCGCGCGAGGGTCCCGCCCTTCCTTGGGCTCTGCCGCCCCCGCGCGGCGGCCGCGGGCATGGCGGGGCGCGGGCCCGGCGCCGTGCGCATGCGCAGCGCGGCCCGCAGCGCGGCTCCTTCACGGCTCTCGCCGAAGGGCCGCGGCTGGAGGTTGTTTCTACCCCGTGTATCAGCCTCATCTCACGTACCGCTGGTTCGTAGGAAGATCAGATCCCTGCTGCCCTCAAAAAGGGGATAAATCAGCCTTTGGTGATACTGAGAAAATTGTCCTCTCTAAAGGTACTTTTCTGGGCATCAGATTGAGTCCTGAGAGCCAGATAAGAGCGCATGAAGGCTGAAATTCAAGATTGCATCATTCTTGCATTTTGGATAAAGGTATCTTTGGTAACTATTCACTCGAAAATGTAGGACAAAGCTGCCTTAGCTATAGAGCAGAGATTGCTCCTGCATCAGTGCAAACACCAAAGGCAACACGAGCCAGCACTGGCAGCTCTTGGGGCAGAGCTCCAACCCATAAAACACGACCAGAGACAGAGTGTGCTCACAGCTGTGCATGCTCAGCGAGAGCACAAGCTGGATTTACTTCATCAGTTACACACCGATGGTGGCACATCCCTGCCCTCACTGCCCGCCTGCACCCCCATGTCCGCTGGTGTGTAACCTGGGCGGTGGTTTCAATGAGGAGGAGGAGGGAATGGGACACAACACGCTCCAAAATATGAGAGAAATAAAACTTTGGCAAGTGTATCAATAAGGAATTGTATGCCCCAGGAATTACTGAATGAAATGAATGAGGCTGCTGATCCCAGCCAAGCTAACTTGAGGTGGTCTGAAGGGAGGACAGTGAACAGAATGTGTGCTCCACAGCAGGAGACAATATGCAAAAAGCATTTCAGAAAAAAAGCGAGACAAGAGGGAAGGAAACCAAATGGCAAAGTGACAGATCACTGCAGTAGCAGATCTGTTCTCAACAGGCTTAACTTTAATGTAGGCACCGAACCGCCCTCCTGGCCAGGAGCCCTCCTGTTTAATATTAGGCTGTGGAAATTAGGCTAAACAAAGGAACACTTTGATTGTATCTTTTTACATAACACTATGTAATAAATGGCATTTCATTCCTTACTGCAGCTCCAGCTCAATGTTAAACTAATGCAAAGACAATGTAACTCCTACATCATAGATATACATAAAATTATCAGAGTCTGAAGGGCACAGAGAAAACAAAGTCCAAAAGGCAGTTGGAAATGGATGTCAATTAAAATAGCAGCAAAATAGGCACAAATATTCTTTGTAGGGGAAATCCATTGAAGGATACGATTGCCATAATCAATTCAAGTCAAGCTCTACTGTTTGAAAAGACTTTGCCCACACTTTAGAGTTAGTGCAGCTCCAAGGAAATTATACCCTGAATGGCTTCCAGGTGCTGATTCTGTGAGGTCTTAGAAAAGGAAACTTCTTCAGTGTAAATCAGCCAGCCTGGAAAACTGGGTGTGGCCTTCTCTAAGACATTTTCCATTCTCATTTTCTTTAAAATTGGGATAGTTGTATCGTATTACTTCAGAATAGTATTCTGAGGTTAAAATAATATGTAATTGTTATGTACTGTTCCTGCTCTGTAAATTTCAGTGCAAAAGCCAGTGATGTAGGAGCTGAGGCTAAATTAGAATTTGAGGACAGAATATGTTCTGCATGTTGCTCAGTCACACTGAACATCTGCTGTTCACCAGGCTTGCAGAGCAGCCTGAGATCTGACTGAAGCACACAAGAGGAACGCATCAGTTTTGTCTCTTTGGCCAGTTCACTGTTGCATTTAAATGTTCATTATTTTGACTTTATCTCTGCTAGTTAACAATCTATGCAATTGCCCATTCTAACCTGCTTTTCTAGGTCTTATCCTTGTATGAGGCTTTTAAAATACAAGTGGAGTGATCTAAATTACCTTCAGAAATAAAAATCTTCCACATGGCAAGTAAGTATTCTCATTTACTAAGATTCTGAAATAAAAGTTAGTTTGGTAGAGGTTGGTCTGCTTTTATATTCAATGACTCGAATATCACAGTTTTTGAAAAAAAAGTATTAAATAAAGCCATATATGTAACTCCTTATGCAAGAAAGACGCACTTGGAGAACTATGAGAGGATCTTCTAAACCAGTAAGACAGCAATTTCAGGTGTTAAGGCTTCTGCTTCAGTGTTTTGTTTATTTTCAGCCTACCCATCATTATTTATTGATTTTTACAATGTCTCCAGTCTAAAATGCTGCACAGAACTATGAGTTGTATATGGACTTCAGGAATGCAGAGCTCATGTGAACCACCACTGTTCACTAGATAATATTCTGCACTTCCAAAAGAGAGATTAAGTGAGGAACAAAATCATTCTGTGTTTGGCAGCAGAGCACCTACCATTTCCATACTGTTTCTATGGATGTCACTCAACTTGCAGTACCTCCAAACCAGAAGCCAGCTGGGAGCAACCAACTAAAGGAGTTTATCTCTTGAAAGCAAGTAATGAATATACCCCTAAGTTCAGGTATAAGAGTCAAAGAGTTAAATTTTAGTAAAGAGGTAAGAATAAAAAAAACCCAACAGGGCAAAATATAGCTGTGATGTAAAACAGCTTAGGTATCCAGGAGATTTATTCTGATGTACTTACAGAAACTTATTTTTCCCATATGTGGGAAAATAATATTCTGCCGAGCACATTAATTATATTTCAGTTCTTTAGATCATGGTTCTTGCTTATCTTTTTGCTCAGCTCAAGTCACTTGTCTATAATAAGAGAGCATATCATCTAAACTTTGGTAAAGTGGTTTCTGATTTGGAGTCTCACTGCTGTCGGTCTGCACTGGAGGTGCCACATCCTGAGTGCTGCAGCCGCTGGCCGGCGTTCCTGCTGGCACATCCTGGGTGCTGCTGCCACAGGTTTCCGTTCCTGGTGGCATCTCTTGGGTGCTGCAGCCACAGGTGTGTGTTCCTGGTGGCACATCTTGGCTGCTGCATCCACAAGTGTGTATTCCTGGTGGCACATCTTGACTGCTGAGGTCACAGACCTGTGTTCCTGGTGGCACGTCCTGGGCACTGTATCCACAGGGTTGCATTCCTGGTGGCACATCCTGGGCGCTGCAGCCGCAGGTCTGCATTCCTGGTGGCACATCCTGGGTGCTGCAGCCGCAGGTCTGCATTCCTGGTGGCACATCCTGGGCGCTGCAGCCGCAGGTCTGCATCCCTGGTGGCACACCCTGGGTGCCGTAGCCATACGCCTGCATTGCAAAGGGCATCTCAGGAGTGCCGTAGCCATACCCGTGCATTGGTGGCCCCACTGCTGGTGCTCCATAGCCGTAAGCCTGCACTGGGAAGGGAGTGCACATCTCGGGAGTGCCGTAGCCATAGGCTGGCACGGGCGGTGGCACGCCCCGGGCGCTGTAGCCGTAACCCCGCAGTGGGGGTGGCACACCTCGGGCACCGAAGCCATACGCCTGTGCTGGTGGTAGCATGTCCTCTTCATCGCTGCTGTCATCCTCTGCTGATGACATGCCCTGAGTGCCGTGGCCACTGGGCTCTGCCGACCCTGGCTGAACTGGAACGTTGCTGTTGGAAGGCTGTGGTGAGGGTGGCGCATCTCCACTGCTCCCTGGCACCGATGGCCTCTGTTGGTTTTGTGCTCTCTCCGTTTCCAGTTTTTCAGAGGAGGTTTCAGAACTGCTCAAATTCCGACTTCGGTGATAATCATCTTTCTTTTGTCCCAAAAAGTAATCAGAAGGTGGTGCAAATTCTGGGTCTCGCTCATCTCTAAGTTCTTCCTGTTTCTTTTCCCATTGTCCAAACATCAGTTCTGTTAGAAACAAAAAAAATGGTAGATTTAGCATAGATTTCAAGGTCTGAAGGTCAGACGAGGGAAAACAAATTGGCAAACAAAGAAGATGCAACTGTGTAAAGCACCCGAAGTTCCTTTTCCAT